CGAGATTTGACAAAGGGAAAATTAAACCATCGATTTCAATGAATCAATACGTTGTTTGAAATGGCCAAAAGGAGTGGCTGAAGACGCCTAATCTAGGCATGAAAAGTGAACGACACCATGTTGCACAACCGAAATAAAAGCAAAATGCACAAGGATCATGAGCCAATAAACTAGATTTTTAGCCTACAATGCCTAAACAAAGGTTTAACAAGTTCAAACAAGCTTATAATCAAAGCCATTGATCTTGAAAATCAAAATTGTGTGTGGTTTAAGCATTAGGTCGAGCACTTGGTGAGTGTGATTTCAAAGATCGAAAATTTAACACAAATTCACCCAACAAGGACTCCAAAGCCACACACTCATTCACAATCACACAAGCATTAATTCAATTGCAATTAACAAACCAAATTCAACCCTAAAAGTGCCTAGAATCAACGCGACATGCAACTCGTTCTTCTCTCTAGCTAGGGCGGATTCAAGTACATAAAGCAAAGAAAAGCATGAAATCTTACCTTAGATCACTTGAAGACATAATTAGAGGATCCAATTACAAGATAGACCGTGAAGAAATAAATAAATCAAAGTTTGGGAGCGATTCCTTGAGTTCGCACGCATAGAAAGCGAGTTCTTGGGCTAGAAAAATAGAAAATTTGGGGAAATGGAGTTCTGGCTCAAGTAAGCCTGTGATCTGCCCTTTTATAATCACGCACAAGATTGTGGGCAAGGGGCAAAAGATTGCGGCTGCGAACTTTTCACCCAGGCAGCGATCTTTAGCAAACTCAACAGAGTTTGCGAGAAAGGTAAAGTGAGACCGCAGTAGCAAAGGTTGCCATGAGGCTGCGATCTCTGGTTTGACAAAAATTTATATATGAACTTATTTAACCTAAGTTTCAAGAAATTATCGAACATATTCAAAACTAATTGGCTAAGGCAAATGCATAATTTCCTAATTGCAAACTATGCCAATTCATTAAAAAAACAAAGCATGCTAATTTATTTAAGTAAATTAGGGTGAAAGAAAGGCAAACCGATGTTGGGGTGTCTCCCAACTAGCACGTCTTATCTTTGAACGAATGACTTCAAATATTTAGTCTAGCTCAAAACCTCCTTGAAGTTGAGGTTTTCATCGGCAAAATGGAGTATTAAGTCGTGACCGGTCTTCTGATCACTCAGTGAAGGCTCACGTAGATAAGTGCTCTTGAGAAACCACCAATGGAACCTCACTTCATCTTGTTTCTTCTTCTCTTTTCCTAGAACCAAGTCAAACATTCTTGAAGGGTCATCATCGGATCCACCAAGAGGGATTGATAATACCGTGACTTCATCTTGGTAAAGAGGTGTTGCAAAAGGATACGATGCTAGGAGCTTCTCGAGACCGGGTGAACTTCCATGGTCAAAGTGAATGGCCTCTTCGAGCACACCAACCTAGATTATCCCAAAATTCTCTTCATCCTCTCTTCTTCAACCTCCTCTCCTTCTTGTAAATAATCTTCCCCATGTTGAGTACCAAGCTCATCTCCTTCTTTACTTTCTTCTTCCTCCTTCACAACCTCATCAATGCTCTCTTCTATAACCATTTCTTCTAGTTTATTTGGAGCATTGATGGTCTTCCAAGCAAGCTCTTCACTAGATGGATCTTCGCAATCCACTTGCTTGGGATCAAAGAAAATAGCGGACTGATCAGTAAATAGATACAAATAGGTGCAAATTCTGACATGTACACCTTTGAGACTTCTTCCTCTTCTACCACTTCCTCTTTCTCTTCATTGATAATGTATAAGGGGTGATCTTGTTTGAGTCTCGAGCAAAGTTGTTTGAGGTCTCTCTTATTCTTTTCCAACCTCTTGAGCATCTTTTTTTTTCCAATGAGGAAGTCTTGAATAGAAGGGTCGGTACCTACTAGGGTGGAAGACTTCCCTTCGGTCTCAACCTATTTAGCCACCCTTCCTCTCGATAGCCGTCTTTGATGTGAAAAAAATCAGATGAAGGTTGGGGTCACTAGCATCGAGGCACTCCATTGGGATATTGAAGTACTCAGATGTCAACTCTTGTGCGCTCTTCGATGTAGGTGGTGGTGGAGGATGAAGCACCTTTTCATCCTTGGAGTTTGAACTTTCTCCCTTCTCTCTTGGATCGACAATGCAAGGTTCTCCAACCTCTTGATGATGCTACTGAGGAAGAAAAGAACTTGATTGTCTTGTAGCTTTCCTCCATTGAGGAAACTTTTGGGCTCCGGTACAAGGTCGGGTGAGGGAGTTGGAGTGATCCCAACTGCAAAGCGGATTGAGCCCGTTCACTCTTCATCAAGAAGCTCGCCAATTTGAACTCCAAGCTTGCTCTAGTCTCCGGGAGTGATGTAGGGTTCCATCTACAATATGATGAATGTTTTTTTCCGATAGGGAAGATGAGATAGATACCCTTGGGGTATGGTTCTTGAACATAGACAGGGGTTGACTTTTGGTACTCGGACTCTTGGGTTGCATCATTGCTTGAAGCTCTGGGATAGAACCGATTGGGCTATTGGTGGTATCCCCATTGGTTGTGCCAACTATTTCGATCCGTATCTGAAACTATCTATATGAACAAAAAATAAAACAACCTATGAAAGCCAAAGTGTGAAAAAGAGAATACAAAACAACCTTAATACTAACAACAACCTATCACAAGATAACTACAAGAAACATAACAAACGATAGGAGAATAAGAGAAAGAAAGTAAGACATAACAAACACACTACACTCAACTCAATATTCACAAAACAATGTACAAACACACAAAGATGATAAAATGATGCCAAAAACTTCGCACGAAACACGCATATACGAAAAAATGATTAAACTCAGCTTTTCCTAATAACCTAAGATCTTCACGGCAACGGCGACAAAAACTTGATTGTGTCTTGATCGATCTTTAAATTTTTAAATTTAAAGTGCACTCACATCTATTCCTTAAAATCCAAGTATAACTATGCTAGAGATGTAGTAAAGTGACTCGGTCGTATTCCAAGGGAACCTTAGGCTTACTATTACTTCGCTGTTAACTACTATCTAATCAACTCGGAAGATTGGGGGTAGAACTAAACTAACCTAAATACCTAAACACAACCAATCAAGTGGTTGGGAGACCACTAGATATGAGATGGTTTTCTACCTCCTATAAACGGTTAAAATTGTTAGCACGCAAGTTGGGTAGGTCGATGGTAACGCACCTAACCTACAAGCATCAATTAGGTGATAATCTACCTACAAGGGAATGTTCACCTCGACCTCTAGATAGCCCTCTAGGTCAATCAATCAAGGTAGAAAGCATTCACGCATATCCAACCCTAATTAGAAGAATTAAGTACCCTAGTCAAACTCAAATACACTATAGAGTCATATGCAAGGTAATGATAATTCCCTATTATCTAGGTTGAAACTAAGGACAATGGGATACAGACAATTTCACAGTAATTGATATCTAAAACACTCTTACCCTAAGAAAATGGAACTATCGCCTATGTGAATAACAAACCAATCACAATCAAGCAAGGGTTATCGAAGTGCGTGTTGTTTTTGATGGAGTTAACGGAGGAGCCTTTGACATCATCAGTTTAATTTTCTTGTTAGGATTACAGAATAGATATTGGCTTACATAATCATTCATACACATGACCCGTAAAGAATCTATAATCTAGGGTTCATCTTCCCTAAACAACCTTAGAGATTCAAGTCTTAGAGAAACAAAATACAAACTAAGAAGAGGGGAAGTGTTGGAAATCATCTTCTTCAACTAGAACGTAATAGATTTTTTTTTCTTTTTATAAAAACCAAAAACAAGAGGTTAGCTTCTTTCAAGTACTATTGAAAATTGTTGACAGCAATGCCAAAGAACTTAATGCATAGTAAATAAGCAAGTAAAAATCATAGGGTCATATTTCACGAGGTCTTTTGATAGTAACTACTAAAAACTGATGCTTGTGCTCGAATAAGAGAATGCAACTGAAAGTAAAAGCAAAGGGTTGAGGTGCCCTTGGTCGAAATCTTCTCTACTAAAGCAACGCGGCCTGAGGTACTTGGTCCTCCTAGAACGGACGGCCAACGAAGGGAATGCTGGGTAAGCAGGCTGCTGTCATTTACTTGCAATGCAGTCAAAAGCGCGATTTTACCTAGAAGCGGAAAAGGGATAAAATCGTAAAGCGTAGAATCAAAGCGTAAAAGCGTAAGTTTTTTACGCATACTGAAAAATAACTAAAAATCTATTAAGTAGGGTATATGTTATGCAAAATATGAATGCACAGATAAGTTAATAAATACATGTGTTTCATGCCTAAAGTAGAACAGCTTATAGCATCTTAATAACAAGTTCATAAACATAAATTTTAACAATAAACCACTTTTCCCTCTATGCTAATGAATTTGGGAAAAGCCTAGCTGGTGAATTATATTACTCTATTGAAGTTGAGAATGCATCCAAGTACCTGATATGTATCTTCTAATCTCAAATGTATCATATTGTTGGTGATTTACTTTTAAAATAAACTTTTTATAATTAATTTCATGAAAAAAAAATACTCATTTAGTGAACTAAAAGCGTAAAAATGTAAAGCATTTTGGTGAACTAGAAGCGTAAAACCGTTAGCTTTTAAGCTTTAAAGCGCAATTTAGTCTGATTTTATACACTTAAGTTTTTATATGGAAACGAAAGCGTTTTGGTGACCTAAAAGCGTAAAATCGTAAGTTTTTAAGTTTTAAAGCGTGATTTTGACTGCATTGTTTACTTGGTCCAGGTTTACCAAACCAGATGCCCATCCTAATCGTAATTACCATAAGATGAGAAGTCTATTGGGGCGACCATTATGAATTTTGGCAACCATCCCCTCCTTTGCCCCTAATCTCTACTCGCAATAAGAGAGTTATCACTATCATCAGATATTTGGAAAGGACAAATCCTGAATCTATTAAACAGGATCAAAGTAGAACTGGATTAAGATGGAGAAGATCAGTAGCCCACTTATTCATGGCGACATATATATGCTAAAGAAAAGAGTCATCCGTCTGGTCAACGACAACTAAGACAGAACATACACTCAAAAACAATTTTAATTAGCACCAAGAAGAAGAATCGATTAAGGTATAGGTATATGATAATCAGGCTGCAAGAACTAATGGGCAAGATAAGCAAAACCCGAAAAAAACTCAAAACAATACATATATCAACTACAACAACAGCTCTTACAGTCTCACAACCACAAGCCCCTGGCACCAGGGACATGAATCCAGCGAAGCTCGAGCTCGATTTCTCCGCACTCCACATTTCGCAGCCTCAGGAAGATGTGCTGCACAACTTCGTCGTTGACCCACGCGACCGAGCTTTCCTCGGACAGGCAGTTCTTCCTGCTGGGCTGCATCTTGCTGATCATGGTCCCGCTGGACACCCCTTGGAGGTTCATTCTCACAGCTTCGACGAACGGCCCGATGTCCAACTCTGCATCCCCCATCCTGTCGTCCCTGAACATGTCTCGATCAAACACTTCCTGCCATTGTCACCAGGTTATGAGCTCTACTTACAATTTTATGAATGGGAGCGAATGAATTGGCAAAGCATTACTCACGATCTTGACGGGAAGAGCCGGGTCGCTGACGGACAGGGTCAAGGTCTCGTTCCACTCTGGGTTCACATTTTTCTTCACCACTCGTGTCTTCAGTTTCTGCAATTCCAATGAGTTAGACAATGCGAGTAAGTACAAAAGGAGATGGAGTCAGTGCAGTTAAGTTGAAGAGCTACCGGTGCCATTTCTGTTTGTTTAAACTGTGTTGGTTAGCTTTTTTGTAGGGGGTGTAAGTTTGAAACTGAAAATCCACTGAACCGTCCCGATCCGTTTCGTCCCTGAGGGTCGGAATGGGTCAATTTGTCTATAGGGTCAGTTTAAGGATGGGTCAGCTTTTGACACTATAAGGGATAGGACGGGTCAGGTCGATTTAGGGGGGTCTCTTTTTGACCTTGTGATCGTTAGCAACAACAAATATATCATACCACATTGGACCTCTTTGTAAAACATTTAAAAGTTTAGGTACTAAATTGCAAAAATAAAAAAATTTGGGTATCAAAATGTAATTTTACCATCAAAATTTAAGGACTTATTTGTAAAAAATAAATAAATTTAAGGTACTATATTGTAAATAAAAATAATTTTGGGTATCAAAATGTAATTTGTAAAAAGGTCAGTTATACATCTTAATCCTTCGGGAACGGGTCAAACCGGATCAGAGACGGGACAAAGACAGAGACAGAGACGGATCACAGCAATTTTCAGGCTTGCCTTTTTGCAGCAGAGGAAAAATGTGGAATGGTGGAGTAGGTTTAAACTGTTTTAAGTTGTTTCAATTTGTACGATTACGACATAAGCATTTACCAATTTTGGTGGAGCGTCTGTGTGGCAAAATGGGCAATTTAGTTTTGTACACTTGATTCGGTCAATACCGTTTTTGGGAAGAATCTAACCATAGATTGGGACATCCGCCAGCGGCCGGCTGATCATTGCCGTTACAATGAAAGAAACAGACTCATGCTTTTGTCGTCTATAGATTTCCGGCCAGGCTTAGCAGCTGGCCGGCTTTCAAAGCTTGTCGTCCATCCACCTTTACATTGTGAAACCGTGTCGAAAATTATCGCCGAAAATCATTGACAGAGTATGTTGTATTACAATCGCGATTCAACCGTTTCATCCCGCTCGAAAGGATGACGGGTATGGTTTCTTTAACATTCCCTTTGCGATCACCCTTAATTTTTACGGGTAAACTTTGTACTGGGATTAGGTGTCTGTCAGTATCACTATGTCAACGATGCTGATGATTCAAAGCTGAAAACGACCTCTAGGCGACCCCGGAAACAAGAAAGCGAAAATTTTACTCCCGATAGCATATTATCGAAGACCAAAGAAGAGATGATTGAACTTGCCCATGAAAACAGAGCATTCAACGCAGCTATTAAGAAAGGATCATCTAGTGTTTTACTGATCAGACAGTGCTGTGCAGGCAACGGCAAGCAGTTCGAAACGCGAATTAAGTTGGATGACATAGAGAGAGAAAAAGGAGGGGAAATCACCTGCTTGCCCATCTTGACGATGACATAAGGGTCGCTGCTCCGGACATCTCTAATGGCGAGGTTGATCCCTCTGAGCACCTTGATTCTTAGAAGCCCCATCACGTTCTCCATTTCACTTTTTTCCGACTGGTGCGACGGCGGAATCAAAAAGGCCCAAATTGAGTTGTTGGTGTTGCGGGGAGGGAGAGGGGTTGGGAGCTGTTGGGCAGTTGGGACTATGGGGGAAAGTAGGCGTTTTAGAAATGTGGTACTGAGGCTTTATACGCGCTTAGTGAAGGTGGTGATGATCCTTAAGTTGTATGTAGTTACGTTTACCAAATAGAAGAAGAAGGGAAAGAAAAAAAAAAAAAAAAAGAGAATATTGTATATCCTCTAATTCAAAAAAAAAAAAAAAAAACATTCCTAAGTCCTAACACATGCCAAGTGAACCAGAGAAACGACCGCACTAATCTGGCAACAAATTGAAATGATCAAATTCATGGGTCTCTATTATTATATTACTAATGTTAAGAAATGATTACTTTAAACAAATAAAAATTAACAATGCAGTGATTAAATTGATTAAGTTTCGCATTGAGAAAGGTCACTTACGTAGTGATCGCTCCCCGTTACTAGCCAGATTAATGATTCTCTAATTCGTTTCAATCTTCGTTTTATAATGTACAGAGTCCTTAACAAGTCTTGAATCTCGGTTAAAGCAATCAATTCCTTCTTGATTATTAGACTACATAAAGGGACTCTATCCTCAATTAAGACAATCTACCAAGACAATTCGAACTATACTCCCTCTACTGGATTCACACCTAATGCACAACGACGTTTATATTCATATTTGTATTCATTTGAATCCATTGGAGACGAGATATTCATATGTTTGATGCACACCTTTTATGGTACACGATTTGGTCGTTAATAAATGCAAAGGGTAATCATGAGAACACGAGTGATTAATTTCCCACTTGTCATGCAATGTCATCCCTAAATGATAGTCAGTTGCAGAGGGCAGGTTATTGGATCATAGAGAGTGAAGAATCTACGTGGATTATTTTGATCATTAACTACTAATTTGGAAAATCATAATCTTGAACACCTACCGTGTTAATTTGAACTCTATACAATAACATATCATATAGGTTGACACGGGCCCGGCTAAAATGTTTATTGGACTTCATATGTACGCATGCCACCTATGAGTTAACCGACCTGAAAATGAGACACAAAGACATTGATATGTACAAAATTAACGATACTAAACAAGTGTTCTGTTCTCACCAATAGTACTTGAATCTTTGTAACTGAGCCCCGTCTCCAATAAGCAGTCTTTACCAACATTTTTTTCTTTTTCGTGTGCTTCTGGGAACGGATCTATCTATCTTTTTTTTTTTTTTGTAGATTAGAAAAGGAGCAGAATGCACACATACGGAGCACAAGAGGCAGCCGACCCAAATTATGTATGGAAAAGATACTGTAAATGGTGTGAAACTATGAATAAGAAATGCAAGGAAGAACATACACTGAAAAGCAAAAATAAAACAAACATGTCAATTGGAATCTGCCTAAAATTCGAAACCGAGAAAAACATGATAAGGCCTGGTGTTGCCTTGCCTTGCCTCCCATGCTTAATTTTAATACAGACAACCTTGAACCAATCAAACCCAGAAGTACTGATAGCTGTACTAAGATTACTTTTCTTACGGCACAGCTCACAACGCGCCATTATAGACACAGACCACAAGAGATCGATTACCTTCTCCATTTGGGTGTTGCTATATTCACTTGTAAGAGCTCTCTGACAAGAATGCAACCAGCTACAGAACGCGGAATTTTGGACTGTTGTTGGCAAATTTATTAGTTTGGAGTTTGGGGGTTTCCTGTTTTACGTATTTGGTCATTTTGTTTGGTTGGAAGTTGTGGGTCTGAATTCATCGGGGACCAAAAAAAAAAGGATCTTAATAAGCCGAATGAATTCTTGTAGATTGTAACTGCTTAATTCGTCATGGTTAATATCGAGTCATAGACATGCTCAATCTGAATCGACCTTCCACATGCTCAATATGAGCTTAATTCATTAGAAGGAAGTTGCTAAAAAGAGGGAAGGACATCCACTCAAGCTCCTGAATTGTGTCTGCAAGAGCCCTGTACCCTGCTTCTAACTAATGACATGGACACAATTTGATGCTTCTGAGATTTTCCCAGCTGGTCCAGGAATCTCATTAAAAACACAGTAGCCAGTTTAGAACAACATCCTTAATAAATTATTTGCGGAACGAGAAAACAACACACCGATTTTACGTGGTATCCTCGATTTGACGATCGGGATTAATCCACGGGAGAGATGAGTCTCTCCAGCTTTTGCTCTTATTACGTCACGTTACAGGTTAAAGCCTTACACACCGGTATATATGACCCTTTACAAGACTTTAGGGTTATATTGCAAAGAGGAATATGAATTCTTAAACAACAAGCAACTGAACACCTATTGGCATACGTGAGTGCAGACATGTGTGAGACACCGACTAGACTTGACTAGGCCTCTCGGCCCAATACGCCCCCGCAAGTTATACAGTGGAGGTCACGAACATGCACTTTGGAGAGGAGAAAATGTGAACGGTCTGCACCAAGACCCTTTGTGAACAAATCCACAACCTACAGCCGAGAACAAACCTTAAGAGGAAGGATATCACGAGAGACAACATGCTCTCGAACAAAATAATAGTCAATTTTCACATGCTTTGTACGCTCGTGGAAGACGGGTTGTCAGAATTATGAAGAGCCGCCTGATTATCACAATACAAAGGAGTAGGAGCGCGCTAAGGAACGCTTAACTCACTAAGCAACCATCCTAACGAGAGTAACTCACTACTGTGTTGGCCATAACACGATACTCTGCCTCAACGAACAAACGTGCAACGACCTTCTGTTGTTTGGTGCGCCAAGAAACAGGAGTCGAACTCAATGAGATGTAGAAACCGCAGGTGGAGCGACTAGTAGTCTGAAAACCTCCCTAGTCGGCATCATAGTATGCAACCAGATTAAGATAACTATATGCTGGAAATTAAAGACCATGTCCAGGAGACGTCTTCAAATATCAAAGAATGTGCATAGCCGCATCCATGTGGGCTTTTGAAGGAGCATGCACGAACCCACTGAGAATATTAACACCATACGAGATGTCAGGTCGTGTCATAATGAGATAGAGAAGCCGTCCCACTAAACCCCGATAAGAAGAGCCATCGACAAGAGGACTGTAGTGAGATTTAGTCAGCTGGTGGTTCTGTTCGACTGGAAACGCACTAGGACGGTAAACCAGGATGCTTGCTTCTTCAAGGATGTCCAGAACATATTTTTGCTGACTAAGGATAGTACCACGAGGAGACCGAGCAACCTCGTTACCAAGGAATACTTCAAGGTACCTAAGTCTTTATATTGAAACGACTTTCAAGGAATTGTTTGACATGGGAGACGAAGTCCAAATCGTTACCTGGTAGGAGAACATCGTCGACATAGATAAGGGTCACGATGAAGGTGGAGCCTTGACGAAATATGAACAGAGAATGGTCTGCAGGAGAAGCATGAAAACACAACTCACATAGGGCATCAGTGAATTTGTGGTACCAATTTTGAGATGTCTACTTGAGGATTTTATAGATTTAAGGGCTAATAGCACGGGGAAACCCGAACTATAGAGAATGTGTCATTTGTGTCCCAAACTATTCAATATGTCGGTTTTTTTTTTTGTAATGGTGATATAGCTTTAGATATAGCTCTTTGGACAAGATGTGCAACATTAATATCTTGTTGTTTTAACCTACTTTTCTCTTGGACCAATTTGCTCGCCAGTCGCGTCCACTTTTCCTTAATGCATTGTAATGAATTTGAAAATGTATGTATTGAGGAGATAATGAATTTAGAATGAATTGAACGAGAAATGAATTATCCAACGAAATTTCTAAATTTCTTAGCCTTGTAGCAAGGTTCGTCATCTCAATACAATGATCATGCATCGAGCATGTGCCATCAAATTCATAGTTTTAAGATCTACCATAAGTTTCTCTGCAAGGGATATGTTTGCATTCTTAAATCGTTCTTCTATTGATTTTAAATATTTGTTAGCAGTTGTTGGAACGGGCAGGGAGGTTTTGATGTTGCAAGCGATTATCATACGTAAAAACATAATGCTCAATCTATCAGACTTCTCCCAAGCCTTGAATATAGTCTTTTCATCATCAGTACTTGTATTGGTAATAGAAGGTGGTTTGTCTATGGTAAGAGTTAGGGCTGGCTATTTGGTCCAGGCTTTTTGGTTTTACCCGAAACAGGACCGTTGACTCACTCCTACTGTCACTCTAGAAATTGGCCAAGTGTAACCACTTCCTAAAGTGTAGTATAGCGGGTTTGAGTTTTAATGTCAACCCGGGTCCTAGATTTGATGACTACTCAGTGAATTCTTATTATCTAGCAGTGAAACTTTAGTGCAAGTCCAAATTAACAAACAAACAAACAAAGCAAGTTAAACGGTTGTTTTCAAGTCGAGAGAGGTCACCCGGATATGGTTCCCCCTAGACTGCAGTTAAGCCGGATTGCAATTTACCAAGTTCAGTTTTAATGATAGTTATACTGCGGAAGGTTCTTAAACAGTCTGAAGTCTCGACTAAAGGTCTACAGACCCTCTCAATCTGAGTCTCCAGCGGGCGACTAACCTCCACCGGAGTAAACAGATTGAGACCCTAACGAACCAAACCTCCACTACCGAAGTAAATTCGGTACAAAATAGTGAATTGGCTCCTCGACTAAAGTCGCCAATTCACTACCTTCAATTAAGGGTGCTCTATCAACCTAGGCAGATATTCTCTTTCTAGGTTAAAGCAGAAACAACAGGAATTTGATCAGGATTCAAGTCATTCAATCATTCAAGCCTCAATCGAATATAATCAACTCATAAAATCTGTACTTGGGTTCATACAATCAGACCTAACATACAAATCTAGGGTTCTCCATACCCAGATGAATGAGAAAACTACTCCATGGAGAGAGAAGCAAAAGCAGATTCAGATGCGGAAATCATACTGTGAAGAATGAGTTTCTGCTCCTGGTCGTCGATCGAGACTTCTCCAAGTTCAAGCCGGGCTCCAATGGTGATGAAGATCAAGCTATGGCACTTGGGAACTCTGGTTCGTTGCTTTCTCTCTCTAGGAATCGCTCTGTCTCTCTAAAACTCGGAACCCTTGATTTTTATCCTTCTTTTCCTTTAAAAGGTTGACTGTCGTGATATCCGGTCGAAATACCCGGTCGGGTATTTCGGGTGTCGACCGGGTATGTGCTAAACGCGCCGTTTTGCCTCAAGGGAAATCCCCGGTCATGGCCAATAATCCCCGACCGGGGATTTTCGCCTCCTGCCCGGGCCCCCTTCTGTTTCTCACGGACGCCAAAGCTTAAAATCCCCGGTCATGGCCAGATAATACCCGACCGGGTATTTCTGCTCATGGCCGGGTATTTTTGCTCTGTAGCACACTTCAAGCCTCACTTGCTCCTTTCGACCCAAATCTCGTTCCTTCGCCTCGATTCCAACGCCGGGTCCTGAAATATGACATAAACGCACAACCTCGCATGAAATCGGCTTAAAACACGAGAATCAACATCTCAAACGGCTCAAGAATAGGGGTAAAAACATGTGCAATTATCGGTCTATCAACCGTATAACCCGGATCGAGGCCGGACCTGGACCAGATAGCAAACAATTCAATCCAATCTTCGGGCGTAGATTTGAGGTAAAAAAACTTTTCGGGACCGGACCAAAAACCGGATAAGAGAGCCCAACACCCAAAATTTAACCAACTTCCCACCCTTTCACGCCTCAGGCCACTCAAATTCCCACAAGGTCAATCTAAAATCAAGACCAAATTGGGACCGGACCGGTTCAAGACTGGACCGGATCAATACTGGACTGTATCCAATCCAATCTTTGGTCCTTATATTCTCGAAAAGACCGGACTGAGACCGAATCAATTCGGGTCAATTTAACCGGCCCAAACCATATAGGCACCCCTAGTAAGAGTCATATCCAAATCAAGTACTCCCAAGGTGAAATCAACATTCTCTTTCCATTCCGGGAAGTTAGTTTCAGTGAGAAGTGGGACAGATGACCCAAACGATGACAAATGCTTTGAAAACATTGTTGCAATTTTAGAGATATAATACTTTTAAATGAGGCATTTACAATACATGAACAACTCATATAAAGTTTGAGAATATATAAGATGAAATCATAGTGTACCTGTGGGTTATCACTATATATCTATATTCTCAGTAATATCGTTAAAGTCGTAATAATTAGCTCTCAAAATGAGTAATATATCAACTCTAGACCAAAAAAAAAATCCACAAGAAATTTGTGGATTTTCTTCGTTTTCATTATACATTACTCCTTTATTATTTCTAAACTAAAAAATTATATATAAATCATAATAAATGTCTATAATGTACATACAAAATCATGAGATGTATGCAAAAGACGCGTGGGTTAAAAAAAAGTTGTCAATAACATTTGAGCTTTGAAAAGTTGTTTCTCCTAAATTCTATATATCTTACTTCAAAGGTTGTCATGTTATCATAATCTAAGCTCTGATAACACATGTAAACCTTGCTTTACATGAAACCCTAAGATCGATAGAACAACATGATAATCACATGAAATATAAAAAAGGGTTAGAAGAATACCTCCTTCCATAGTGATTGAGAGAGGCTTATGAAGAAGTGACAATGCTTAATTTTGGGATTCTCTCTCCTAACCTATAAGTCACTTAATATATGTGTTTCTTATGATATGTCATTGTGATGGTCCAAAGCATAATATTTATAATTATAGGTGGATAGAGGATCAAATTCCTACTAAGTTTTTCTTTACACTTAATCTCAACCATCCATATCATGGAAGAGTTACAATAGGAACATAACTATTTGGACTTATTAATCTTTGATAACTTCTTATTCTTAAAACCAATTAAATCAAATGTAAGACTCGTATTCCTTTCATAACTCATGAGTTTCATAATAGATTATATTAGTTATGAAATAACTCTCTTGCACTAAAAGTTATCTTACATTACCTCCCAACCTGCTAAACCTGGTGCCATTTCCTTTCTTCTATTCTCCCTCTACCGTAGAACGACAATTGGAGAGGTTGTGGACTACTTGGGTTGGAAATGAAAGTCCAAGAGAGCTTAAGTGAGAGGATGCATGTAGGTTACTAAGGTTTCATTGATGGCGAAGTGTAAGCCTGGAAGGGATTCGTCGTTGCCGCTAACCCTAGTGGGCCTTCGTCGTCGATGAGAAAAGAGCTAGAGAGGGAGGCGATTCCAGATCGATGGTGATTTAGGGTGCATGAGTCACTGACGAGTGGTCGTCGCCTAGATTTGCAGAGAAGGAAGGAAATTTGGTTTGTTTGGTCAAGAATAAACAGACTCCGGGATGGTTGACGAGGTCGAGGTCGAGAGACTAGAAGGCAAGGGCAAATTAAGGTTAGAATAAGGGAATTGCTAAATGTCGCCCTACTTATCTGTAATCGCCTTTTTTTTACTGTTGAAAATTATACTTTTACCCTTATCTCATTTTTCTTTTTAAAAAGATATTTAATTCTAAAAACATAAAACAACTAAACCCACCCGTCACGGTTGCCGCCATAACCGCCGACCACTATTTCCACTACCGGTGGCTGACCGTTGCCGATTCACACCGTCAACCGCCTCCAACAATGTCCTTATTATGATAATCATAATATGGAGAATGGACACATGCACCCGGGACATACGAGGGAAGATTATTATGAGGATAGGGAGAAGGGATAAACCGGGATCGGAGTTGATATCGGAGGTGGGGAGAAAGGAAAGATGCGGCTGGGAGTTGATTTTCGGGGAAAGATGATTCAGACAACACATTGCAGTGAGTAGTTGATTCCAATGGAGGGGATTTAGTTTTCATACAAAAGAAACACAGTGGGGAAGAAGAGAGGAGGCAACGGCAATCGACTGTGGAGGGACAATGGTGGCCTGATTGGTGGGTGAGTGACCCGGCTGCCATGGAGTTTTTATCCCCGAAAATGAACAATGAGGTTTTGTATTTAATTTTTTTTGTTTAATGAAGGACAGTTATGTAATTTTCTACATTAAAATAGGACAAAAATAGAAAATGCAGGGCGATGTTTAGCCATTCAGTAGAATAAGACGACCTATCAAAGACCCTGCAAATTAACCGCCACATTTACAGGCGTGAATCATGGAGAAATTTGAACTTCAAAATTATTAAGATCTGGCAACCTCAATGAACAAAGATGGCCTATCAACGTAAAATACGACGACGAGATACTAGACCCTTGTCCCCTAGCCGTTGATACCGACCAATTTAATTCATCCAGAAACTATAATGACAGCGATGGGTTTGGCAATTTTAGAACCCGAATTACGATGGTTGTCATCGACTAGAGCGTCTCTGGGAAACTATGAGACATAATGGTCGTAGCTCTCGATAATTTCCGTTCATCGTCGATCGTTTCTACAGTCCTGGGAAAACTTCCGGCGATGGTGTCTTGTTGATAACATTAATGGCTAATTCTATTGATTACGAGAATTTTGAATTTAATTGCTGGTTCTGAGTATTAAACTGCAATTTTAACTTCCCAGTAGAGGTTTAGACTTTAGAGGGCTCCTTTCGGGTGGGCTGATTCTATGGCATCATAATAATTCCAGTTATTTTCATTTAACTAGTGGACGTTTTATTTTCAACATCAAATCCCTCATCAGTTCAGATAGGAATTAATTCACAAGTTCTGTTTTAAAAGACTCATATGACAAGCTTTTATACTCAGCTGAGACATGAGAGTTTGGCATTTAACCAGAAATGGATCCTATTCAGTCAAAACAGGATACCATCTGGCATTAGAAATTTCTTTAGCCTCAAGTCTTAAGCCCTTGGTCCAAATTATCGACCCTCCTATCTGGAAGAAAACATGGGGTATTCTAGTTCCTCCTAAACTGAAGTTCTTCATTTGGCAGTGCCTGAAAGTGGTATTACCAACAATTGTAGCCCTTAAATCTAGAGGGGTTAGTTGTCGAAGTCGTTCCCTGTTTGTTGGAGAAGTCCGAAAAGTATAGAACATTTGTTCTTCAGATGCCCTTTAGCCACCAGGTTGTGGTCACTTATGGGCCTAAATGACCTCATTTCCTCAGCCCCGACTGTGAATTTCAGTCGTTGGTGGCGACATGTTATGCTTTCTGAGCACCCCCAAACCCACGTTCTCTTATACGTTTGCGTATTGTGGAGAATCTGGAAGTCTCGAAATAAGGTGGTATTTGAGCATTATCATCCTCATGCCCAGTCACTAGCTCGTCAATGCTTTTTCCAAGTCCACGAAGTCTCCTCCTCTCTCCCTCTGGTACCCGTCCCTCCCCTACAGCCCTCAAGCTCCTACCTCATCTCCTGGATCCCTCCTCCTGTTGGCTTTCTGAAGATCAACTTTGATGTTGCGGTTCGTACTTCCGGTTGCTCGTCTGTACTAGTGGTTCGTGGAACAGACAAGAATGTGGCGTTGGTAGTAGGGTTCTAGCACCGAAGCATTGTTGACCCCTACCTCGTCAGAACTTCTTGCAGCCTGAGACGCTATCTCTCTCTTGGTCTCCTAGTCCCTTCCTCGTGTCATCATCGAAGGTGATTCGAAAGTGGTGATTCGTCAGCTTCGTCAGGGCATTTCTTCAGATTCCCTCGGAGGTCCGGTGCTTCGTGATTGTTTCCAGCTCCTCTCTTCAGTCTCTGTTTCCTTAGAGTTTAGGGCAGTTCCTAGAACTGCTAACGAGACTGCTCATAGAGTGGCGCAGAAAGCCCTGTTACTTTCTCCTCTTGAGATCGGTTCCTTCGACTTTGTAGAGTGGCTTTTCTGATGTATTGGTTTGGGAGGGTTTTGAGTAGATTATTTAGTTTTTTTCTCTTGATATTTCTTGGGGGGAAAAAAGAATAAGACCTTAATTAGGACCGGAGCTGCTTAATGGGTTGTGGGCTCAGGGGTTGGGCTTGTAATGGGCTCATGGGTTGCTTGTAGTGGGTGTGGGGGCTGGGCAGATTGCAATTTGCAACAATTAAGTTATCCGATTTTTTCTGGTTTCTCAGTTTTTAGCGGCACAAATCGATCCAATTTTTTTGGCCATTCAGTCCAACCGTAGATTGGACCAGGTCGAAAGATATTTGGTTTATGGTTATAACCGCACCGGTTTATAACATCTAGTTTTTGTTTTGACAAGAAAATCAAGATTAGCTACACTCCTACAAAGCCGGTTTGGGTCAGTTTTGTTTGCGTTTCACCATCACCAACCTGAATTCAGACCCAATCTAACAAACAATATTTATTCACACAAAACTTTTACTTATTTACAGTTGAGCCGGTTAGGTGAGCTAGTTTGGAATGGTTTTGTTCACCCCTAGTAAGGGAAGTTAATTGGTTGGAATTTTTTTTTTTTTTTGGTAATAATAATTGGTTGGATTAAACCCTAAGCAAAAAATACATATGAAAAACAATCCGATAAGTTTTATCATTTGACAGCTGTTCTTAATTTTGTTAGCGGTTAGTTTGGTTGTTAATCACTAACTAATAACCCTTTTATTTTTTTATTTTTAATTGCTTAGGTGTCTTTTTTGCAATAAAAAAAGTAAGATCGCATAATTTTTTAGACCACAATATATGGACGCATGATTTTGATAAAATTCATATACTATGTTGAATGAAAACTTGAAAGGAAAGCCTTTTTCCTCCTATGATAATTGTTAAGAGACTAAGTCAATTCATGGACTTCATCTCATTGCATATATTTTAGTTAGGTGAATACTTATTAGTTGCATGTATTTATATTAAGAATTAACTATAATTGTGTTGATTTTTATGTTTTATTCATTATATAAATTGTTAATTGATGCATTAGTCAAAAATTTGTCTCACGTAATGATAATGTGATGTTATATTGGTTAATCTGGTTAAACTTTAGTTTGGTTGTTGTATTAGTTTTGACGATTTGGTTATGATACTGTATTCAATGGTTAATAAAATTTAGACTTATTTAGTTTGGTAATTGCCATGATAACCATTTGAACATTCCTGCCAGTTAGTGAGTACCAACTAGCTAGAAATCAAACACTAGCACCACAAAATCATCATCATTTACTAACATTAAAGAAACAAAGACTACCAAAATGCAGGTTCATTCTATCGAGTGCAAAGGAGCGCAGGAGAGGGTGAGTTTCAGGTTCGGACTATTTGTCGCATTTGAGATTTTTGGATTGTTTGGGAATTGAGATGTTTAGAATTGTGACTTTGACTGGTCTTAAATTTTGGAACTTTTACCCTTACGCAAAGCCTAAAACAAAGTGATTATACTAACTAGTAATCGTGCCCGGCCCGTTGGCCGGCGGAGGTTTCTATTTCTTCTTGAAGGAAAGATTGAATTTGTGAAATATCAACAGAATATGTGAAACAAAATTTTAACTAAGTTTTGTCATATATTCTTTTCAACTTAAACAATACCAAATTTATCATGGCAGAAGTAAAGTGTGTATATAAAATTAAAGAAGTTTACAATTGCGAACGAATTGGATAAACCAACTTCATGTTATAAAGTTACACATTGAAACTCCAATTGATCACCTTGCAGAATGGTAAGCATTAAGCAAAACGCAAATCAGAAACAATTCCCATACATGAAAATTGACCTACTAAATATTGACCGTATATATAAGTTTGCTTGGCTTGGTCTAAAAAATTTTAGGCAACAAATAGATGAGGTTCGTTCTTTATTGAAATAATATCGTTTGTTTGTAGACTTTTGATCTCTATCCATAAAAGGCTTTCACAAGAACCAGTTGACATCTTTTCGTTATTAGTCTCTGTCAATATACATTTGAATAGTTTATCCTCGAATTTAGGGATGCAAATTTTGTGGTGTATGATCATTATTGCACTTATCACTATTTGTGGAAACCTTTGTAAGCTTTTCTTGTCTTGGTAAGCATGAGATTACATTGTATATCCACGGTCCACAAATTGGAGCACATATTTTTGTTTAAATTGGGTTAAATCTATTGCTTTGGTATATAATTGGTGTTAATCTATGAAGAGGCCAAGTTAGAATTTATCTGGCAATAATATCCCTAACCCAAAGTAGAAGGGGGACAATATAGTATCAAAAGCTAAGGAATCACCTAAAATTGGACCGATGTGGAGTTTGGTTATTGGAATTGCATGAAACTTGTTCATGTATAATAGTTTATTGAATTCATATTTGGCAAAGCATTAGACAAATCGATAGACATACAATTGTAGGAAGTTAAAGCCGGAGTTTAGGACTTTGCCAAATACTACTCGCGGAACTGCAATCTCGGGTACAATTCTTTTTTTGAGGTGGGTAATCATCAAGTCTGCATCGAAGTAAATTGTACTGAATCGATATCTAGACTGAATTGAATAAGATTGAGTATATTTTGATTATTGATCCTACAAATTATCTTATTATGTAACACTCCAACATTTAAGGTTCAGGTTCAACAATAATTAATAAATGGACGGTTGGATGGACGGTTACGTGTGACAACCATGGATTAAGAATAATAATAATATTGATTATATTATTATTGTTATTATTATATAATAAAAAAAGAGAAGAGAATTAACCCCACTCCCCACCCGTTACACTTACACCCTACCCCACCAATTAACCCTCCTGTAACGTCCTTTTTTTCCCATCCACCTCCTAATTATTAAAACTAATTAACGGACGGGTTGAGTAATTACAGGGGTGTCCTCCCTAGCAATACGGGTTGCGCAGGAAGAGCTTATGTGGCAAAGGCTCTTTATTGACATCCGCTTATAGTATTTTGTAGATAAGCGGTTATCGATTTTCCTAATGTTCAAGCGCTAGAAAAATTAGCTAGCCGAAACTGATTCACTAAATTTTTTTATCAATTTTGGATTAATAACTAATTGCCGTTACCGATTAAAATCACCTTAAATATTTCCCAAAACGTAAAGAAAAAAATAAAATATCGCGAACACGTGTCATTTCTCACTCCGCACCCATTCCGCATTCCGCATTCCCCAGCCGCAGAAGCAAATGCTGAAAGCCTGAAACACAGCCAACAGCACTGAGAAAGGAGGAAAAAGCACTGCGATCGCTTGAACGTTTTTGCGGCCAGCCACTGACCAAGTCAAATCCCCCTCTCTCAATCAACTTCTTCTTCTTCCTCCATTGCTCTACTGGTACGTTTCTTTTTGGTTGATAATGATGTGTACTGGTACGTCTCTTTGCTATTCGCTCGCGTTGCACTTCGTTGTGTTCTTTACCCTGGAGTGATCCTTGATTGTCCGTCTAAAATACGATTGGACTTCAAGATTCCCGCTCTCCTTGATTTCTGGGCGGTGGGGGTTTTGATGGGCTAATGGCTATTAGCTATGCTCATAGAATTGCCCGCTTACGTAGTCACAATGTCGGGAGAAATTCGAAATGGTTCTCTATTTTAATCGTATCAATGGCGGTGTGTTGCTAAATGTCTGCCTGGACATTGTCAGTCGGATGTTCAGCACTTATTGGTCGACAATTACAATGGTTAGCTGTTGGCATTTGACTGAAAGCATACCGAGAACGGCCTGTTTCGCGCTACTGTCCGGGTCAGTACTGTGGGGCGGTTGGAAGATCTGGCCAAAGAAGATGATAGCCCTGTAGATTCGTTCCCATGGTTCGATCCTTAGCGCTTGCAATGGTCGTAGAATGTGGTCCATGTGCTCTGAGATTGTATCAGCGTCCTCATGGTTTGTAATGGAGTATCAAGGGCTGGAAGTGGCAACTTGCGTGGCCAGTTCAAGATGAGCAAACCAAAGTGGGAATTTGTTTCATTGTTTTCTTATTTCGAATAAGAGATCTTCTCGGGGCTGTTAGTGGCCGCTTTCTTGCAAACCCAGTCTTTCAAATAGTATAAAACCCCTGAGCTAGCCTTATCCTTGTAGCCTCTTAATATAGTTAATGTCAGAATGAATGATTGAGATCCTCTTATTTGGGTAACGTGTTGAGGAAAACATAGATATCACAGATGAGCTATGTGTCATTTGATAGCATACTTTCCTCGTTATGGTTACTTAATTCATCATGCCTTTCCTTAACTAAAGTTAATCTGGTTCCTGATATGGGTCTTCCTATTTCTCTTCAGCTAGCAAGATCACAAAGAATGGAAGCCTGTATTGCAGGGTAAGTACCCAACCTTATTCTGGAAAAGACATTTCTTACTGTTATCAGTTACTTTTCGAAGTTCTTTCTTTTTAGTGACTATTTTATGTTCTTAAAAGATGTTTGACTATTTTATGTTCTTAAAAGGTGTTGTATGGGAAAGCAAGTGTCATCATTGTCATGGAAGTCACGGAATCCTTTTGTGGAAAGTGCCCATAGATTCCCAGGCAATATTGGCTGGGGCACAAAGATGAAGCACCCAGCAGGGCCCAAACATCTCTATGTAGGCTCTATTGCTAAGCACAGGAAGGGTTTAGTATCTTGGAGAATCTTCACCGTGCCAGTTAGTTTGGAGAAGTCATTGTCATTGCATGCAGAAGCATCTGCGGATTCCCAAGATCAGTTGCATGATAAACCATTGACTAGTGACCAGGTGTTCCAAACCTTTCTTCGGTAATTTTGTTTATTCTATAGTGTAGCAGAAAATTTGCTTCTCTGCCTCTGGGATCCTCTTAATGGAAATGACAATTATGTAACTCAAATAGAATGCATGTCGGGTCTTCTCTATGATGTCAAGCATTTAAAGTATCATATACTCATTGTATTAAGTTTTCCTTGTTAGGTGCTCTAAACTTCTAATATAGTTGTGTTTGATCCCTGCTGTTCATGACTTTTTGTGTATCTGTTACAGCTGAAGTTGCTGTTTGGGGATCCAGAAAGAGCAAAGCTTGTCAAGAAACTAGGCGAAGCTAATCAACAGAACCGATTTCTAAAACGTCAGGTTGGTTCCTATATAGTAAAATCCCGGTTCTTAGATGTCGAACGAGCTATGAGACATTGTGTTGTAGTTTTCTTCTAGAAGGCTTGTATTGCTTGCTTAGGGAGTTACTTCAAAGAAATGCTAATGGTCCTGAAATCAAGGGACGATTCAGTTTTTATATATCTTTCTAGTTGGCTAAAGCAATGATACTGATACACTATTTCACTTCTGCTATCTGCAGATGATGGTGAATGAAGAAGCACTGGACAGCTTCAAAGCTGAACTTGCTGTAATGGAACAAGAAACCCAGGTGTGCTCTCTTTTTCAAAATTCTTTTCTATCATCCAAATCTTTTTCATCGTCTACACAAGTCATTGTGCTGAAGTTCCGTGATTTGTTTCTCTTAAAGTGCCAAAAGAATTCTGCCTGACTTTATTATGGAACATGTTGGCAAGTGGTACTTTCAATCACTAACTTTAAAAGTTGCCAATAATTAGCATTTTGTCCTTTTGCTCATGCTTCCAAATCCATGGCTTTGAACTCTTGAACGCCACATGCTGCATGAATTGACGTGCAAAGATCGTTGTGACTTGGCAGCAGTGAGGACAAAGCCCACTTTTGTCTTCTTTTTCTACTTCTTCTGCTACCATGTTCCTGGTATTCCTAAGTTATTTTCCTTAAGCAGGCTCTGGTTGCACTGGCCGAAGAAATAGCTCAAGCTGGCATTCCTGCAGGTTCAAGAAAGATAAATGGGAAATACATCCAATCCCACCTTGTTTCACGCTTACAAGGTAAAATGTATTATCTGTCATACTTATTTGATTGCTTCCTTTTCAATTGCAAGATTAATGGGAGCTGTCAAGGACAGGGTAAACAATATTCAATGTGATACTTATTTGATTGCTTCTTTTCAATTGTTTCTGCTTTGTTGTGTCACGGCTTTCTTCTTTACAAGATTCAATACAGTCTACGAGACTATGCTGTCAAGATCTTCATTATCTAGTGAGTTTGCAGGCTTGCATGGAAAGTTGAAGGAACAAGTAAAGGACGTGGTTGCTGCCCAGTTAAAGGAGGTCTCCTTATTCTGGTGCGGGATGGCTGAGGTAAGCATCAAACATAGCAATTTGAGGTTTTTGTCAGTGAGATAGATTGTTCCGTAGTGAACATCGAGTACATGACTAGGAAAATCATAGACAAAGTGAAAGAAAAACAAGAGGTAGAGGAACTGATGTCTACTTGATGTAAAACTGTTATGTGTTTTGGCGTTTTGACCAACTTCCACTGAATGAGACTGTCAGACTGAGAGGGCAATCTCTTAAAATTTACTTCGTAAGCAATTGTACTTTTATACGAGCTTAACCGGAGAGTCATTATTGCAATTTTTGCAGAGTGTGCAAGTAATGGGTAGTTTTGATGGTTGGAGCCAAGGGGAGCACTTATCACCAGAGTATGATGGGTATCTCACCAAATTCACTACCACGTTAATGCTCAGGCCTGGAAGGTAATCTCATTTGAGCATTCTCTACTTTTCACTTACTAATGCCTGCTTCCCACTTTTATCTTCTCCAACATAACATGAATTTTGTTTTTACGCTTTGGAGAAGGTATGAAATCAAGTTCTTGGTTGATGGAGAATGGAAGCTGTCCCCAGAATATCCTGCGGTTGGTGAAGGCCTCACTGAAAATAACTTGTTAGTAGTTGCATAGCTGCTATAGCATTGGATGTCGTTGCTCAAACTACCTTTGAGTTTCATTCCCATCTCGCATGTGGTTTGGCTATAAATGCGTAGTAGCTCGCTGTCATGTGAAGATCGACGCACAGTTTGTGAACAGTAAAATGTTTCGTTGAGGGTGTTCTTGTTGATGTATTGCCTTCATAATTCTACCAGCCGTTCTTGGTAACATATAGTAGGCTCACGACTTCACTTATCCCTTAAGACTCGTAAAATCTGTAAAAAGATATTCAACAAGCAACAATGATACACTCTGTTTGGGAGGAGATAGGGTGCAAATGGTAGGGATAAACACGGTTTTCAATACATTTGTACCCGTTTGAATAATTTGTAATAGTAAGGGGTGCAAAATTATTGTTTCACTTACCTTCCAAATTGGGGTGTAAGGGAAGGAATGAAGAGAGGGGAGGGGAGGGGGAGAGATGAAATTATGAATTTTTGTTGATCGTTTGACTCTGTGAGCAAATTTATCAATGCTCGTCTAGTCAAATAGAGATCTTTTGTTGACTCGAATTCGCATTGAAAATTAGAGATAAGAAATGTTTGTGAACATGTCATAATAAGTTTGACCATATTCAATTTAAAGTTAAATTAGACACGACCCACAGGAACTTTGTAGGATGACGAGTTACGAGTTGGGCTTCGAGCTTCGAGCTTCGAGGTCGCTCGACCAATTATTATTACAGTTGTTATAATTAATTATTATTTGAACTCTATTATATAATAATTATTTTATTAAACTATATTAATTAATATTAAAATTATATAATTAATTTTCTTTTATTATTTTATGATAATGTTTTATAAATTTGATAAATCTATTTTATAATAATGTATACTTGCTTTTAACTTTATTTGTACACCCCGTACTTTTTCATCCAAACAACAATTTAACTCTCCACTTACAACCCCCATCAATTTGCACCCACCTGCAACTTACCCCTCAAATTTCACCCCCTCGGATTTGCACCCCGTTGTTGCCAAACATAGTGTAGTAAGATAGACAAAAAGAAAATAAAATAAAATGAGAGAAACTCTCACTTAGAATGACAATTGAACTTGCATCCAACTCAATTCAAATCGGTGAAAGTGCTTAAAATTTATGTTGATGAGTTTTGAATCGGGTGTGCATAACATCTGCTTATGAAATTGGTGGATTGAGTTGGATGCGAGTTTAGTCAAAACCAAATTCACTATCCATCCGAACCGCTCTTGGAAAGTAAAATGACGTCGCTTTGTGTATAACTCTAACATATGGATAATTTATGAATGTTATAGTATTTTTTACAATATAATTATAATAATATGGATAATTATTGGTATTATTAGCCTAGCAATAAAAGTTTTGATAATATATGGACGTGCGTGTTTGGGGGAACTATTCGTCATTATATTCATGAACGCATGCACACTGGGGTGAGTTTTCTGTTTCAAAACCCAGTGGATGTTTTACCATTTTATTGGCGGATGCACGCGCTGGGTTTGGTTTGGTTTTGCAGAAACCCGGCCCATTGTTATCCATATCCCCTCAGGAGGAGATCTGGTGATTCAGTTCTAACTACACTCCCAATTGGGGTAGTATAGAGCAAGTATTTTTGAATTATTAAACCAAGACAGTCTATGTATTTTACTTAAGCAAACTACAAATTATCTAGTTTTAGAAATGTTGTTTTAAGCTAATGAACTAAGCAAACATGCAAGTAAATAAAACAAGGTTGAATTCAATGGAGGAAGCTTCACTTGGATGATTATCCCCCTAGTCCCATGTTGAGTCAATAAGGTGATACTATAGTGTGATATGCATATAATATATACCGTCAGGAGATCAAAGCTAGTTAGAAGTCCATATTCCGGTTGCCCTAACTCGCATAATTACTCTAACTAGAGAGGCATACCAAACTACCGAATTAGGCAATTAGGCCAACCAAATCCACTCTCGGGCGATGACCTAGAACGAAGTAATGAAACCATTCACCCAAATTCATGGACCCCTTACGATGATTGAATAATGCCCTAAATTAATCTAAGGAGATCTTTTCTCAACTAGGTTAATGCCCCCTATTCCAGTTGTCATTACCCACTTAATTGCTCTAAATAGAGAGGCGTACCAAACTTCGGATTAGGCAAATAGTGAAACCAAATCCACACCCTCGGGCAATGATCTAAAATGGCGTAAAGAAACCATTCACCCTCGTTCATGCCCCTTACGATGATTGAGTAATGTCTAAATTACCCTAAGGAGAATTGATCAAGGACCAAAAATTGAGGGAATTGATCAAGGACCTTCAATTATTATGATAAATACTCAATCAATATATAAACAATCTTTACCAATCACAACATAGATTTCACAATCACAAAACTACCAAATCCTAGACTAGGGTTCACATCATCCAAGTGTATAGATAGTCTACTCCATGCATAGAGAAAGAACTACAACTATAGAGAAGGAAAAACCGATGAGAAGATGAAGTTCCTTCTCCCTAGTTGCTTGGGATGGTGTTGAAGATGGAATGTGGCCTTCTTTGATCATGGGCAGCTAAAATTTTCCTTCCATCTTCATTGGTTTGTCACTTTCTCTCTCTAGAATGAATAAGAAGATCAAACTTTCTAAAACTCCTCTCCCTTTGAAATATGCTCTCTCTTCATATTTATACCCAACATTGCAATCTTAGCGGCCAGGTGTCATGCCCGTGATGTGTGCAGTGAAACTGTGATGTCCATTGAAAAAGCATCGTTTCACTTAAGTAATTCACGGTTTACTCGTATTCTTCACGCCCTCAGCCAATGACGTCTGCTCTGCTTGCGAGACTTCTAAATGCTCATGTGGACTTGCAAATTGCATGATTCTGGAGTAATCTTCATGACCTCTTGTCTGTGAACATTTTCTCTAGACTATGTACTCTGATATTTCCAGCACTTTGTCTTGTTTTAGCTCCCTTTTGTCTAACTTTCGATCCTTTCGTCAATTTCACCTGGTAGAGCCTGAAACATACTAAAACATAACATAATCTAGCGTAAAATAGCTCCAAGAACAACACTATACAAGTCAAACGACAAAGATAAAGGGGTATAAATGTGTATAAAATGGCTCTAATCAAACTCCCTCACACTTAACCATTTACTTGCCCCCAAGCAAACCTAACTCACACTAGTGCAACTTGCAAGAAACTCACAATGGTATTCACTATAGGTTGTTGGTAGAACTTTCAAAGACAATCAGAGACGAGAAACCTTACTTACATCTCTTTCTGACAACACACTCTCGGATGAGGAACTTGCCAACTAAAGAGGTCTAGACACTTCACATGTGCAAAGGAGGTCTCTCAAGAAAATGTGTGAAAAGCAATGGAATCCATGGTGGTGCTCTTTCTTTTCAAAAGAGGATTCAAACTCTCGAGCCTGAACTCACATTGTCGATTCTGGCATCACACCTGAAGTTTTCACAAACAAAGGCTCTCTATCTCTTGGCCTAGAGCAAAAGTTCATTGACATCTCTTCCCTAGACTCATGTGGGGAAAGTGATGGTTGAGAGGATGGAATAGGGTAGGAAGGTGAAGCGTTAGAATGTGAGTCATGATCTCTCAAACACCAATTCCCAACCTGCACTCTCATCTCAACGACAGACGGGTTGCCACACATGCGAGATATATCAAGATTCAAGGTCTCTCGACTTTCGCAGAGGCACACTATGTCCTCTCATACAAGTCCCGTGAGGAGGAGAAATGAATGGGGGTGAAAGGTAGAAAATGATGATGGTTGGATGCTAAAAAGCTATTTGATCCCCAAACACATCCTCAAATGACACTCCAATCCAAAAGAAAAGTCCTTTGAAGGCTTAACACAATGACTGGTTGCCTCCCACGTGAGAACACCCACTTTTCATAATGGAGCAACTTTTTGCAAAACTTTTTTGGATTACAAAAATTTGGTTGAGTCTCACACATATGTCATAAACTCAATAGCAAACAGTATCAACACAACCAAGAGGAAATGAAAGTAAAACCTCTCATGTACCACTGGCCATTAATGTAGCGCCACACTATCCCTATAATGCACAGTATCACACCATCAAACATCACAAATCACAGTGAGTATGAATCATGCATGAGACAATGTGTTTGGAACCACAAAAATTTTGAATTTTTGAGCATATAACCTAGGTTCCAAAACACCCACAATGTAGTTCAACAATCAATCATTCATCCAAAATTGCTTGGATCCCTCAAAATTTTGAAATTTGGGGAAGAACAAGGCTCCAAAACACATTAAATAGATATGCGATTCATCACATTTGAATTCACTTTCCATCCACATAGACAATTTAATATCCCGCACACTTAAGCATGATATTGTCCCCAATGGGGGCAAGAATAAGGGTAGAACGAAATTGCGGAAACTAACGGGAGACTGACTAAATGTGACATGTTTCAGTAATTCGAGTGACCAAAATTGATATTAATTATTTCTAGTGACTAAATATGGCATGATTTAGTAATCTCAGTAACCAAATGTGACATTTACCCAAGAGAAAACATATGAATTACCAAGTTTGACACCTAATCCATTTTCTGCCAGCTTCAAAGCAACCAAAACCTGCTCAAGTAAAGTTCCAAGCCGGCCGACTAAATAACCTACAACAAACAAACAAAACAACCATCAGCATGCCCGCATCCATCCAGTCAAACAGAGTCAGGGGAGCCAGAGACCAGAAATTAAGGTATCCCAATAATAATGTCAAAAACTATAAACAATGCAAATTGATTTACCCTGCCTGTCCACACATTTTTCTCCCCTAGTTAAAACCAGTTTCCTCACCAAAAGAAAACAGAGGTCACATCAATAATCTCTAACTATTCGGATTCAAAAATGGAAGACCGTCGAGCAGGGGAAACAGAGCCGCAAAAATGGGCGATGACGAGAGACGGGTTGGTGTCGGAATTGAAGAAGGAAAGCTCCATCGCAGCTCCAATGGTGGCCGTCTCTGTCCTTCAGTACCTTCTTCAGGTCGTCTCGCTTGTAATCGTAGGCCATCTCGGCACCCTCCCGCTCTCCAGCGTCGCCATTGCCACTTCTCTCACCAACGTCACCGGCTTCAGCCTCCTCGTGAGTTTTCACCCCACAAAATCGCGCTTTAAAACATTAAAATTTACCTGTTTTTACGCTTATCACCAAAACGCGCGTTTATACGCGTAGAACTTGTCATAAACCAGCTGGTCCCAATAACTCGAGTTGTTGGGAGAGGTTCAATCCTGAATCATATACCGTTTACTAACACCCCCTTCAAACTCAATCCATTCAGATAGGCTTGGAGTTTGGACAGGCATAGGTCCGGACACGGTGTGCTTAACAGAAACAGATGAGGGTCATCAGGAATCATATAAATCATAGAAGGCTCTGATATCATGTCATAAACCAATTGATTCCAATATAATTCGAGTTGTTGGGAGAATTTCAATCGTGAATCATATACCGTTTACTAACAGAACTGACTTGCAGTCAGGAATGGTGGGGGGATTGGAAACGCTATGCGGGCAAGCCTACGGAGCAAAGGAATACAAGAAGCTGGGAACGTACACATACAGCGCCATCATCACCCTGCTGATCCTCTGCCCGCCGATCTGCCTCCTCTGGTTTTTCATGGACCGGTTCCTCGTCTTCGCGGGCCAGGACGAGGCGATAGCCCACCAGGCCCGCGATTTCTCGATGTGGCTGATACCGGGCCTGTTCGGCGCGGCGATACTGAAGCCCACGACCCGATTCCTCCAGACGCAGAGCGTGATCTTCCCCATGCTGCTGAGCTCCTCGTTGGTGCTCTGCTTCCACGTCGTTGCTTGCTGGACGCTGGTTTACAAGCTGGGGATTGGGTACGTCGGAGCCGCCATGGCGATCAGCTTCTCCACTTGGCTTAACGTGTTGCTGCTGGCTTGTTACGTTAGGTTGTCTCCAGTGTGCGAGAGGACGCGTGGGGATTTGACTGGAGAGGCGTTTCGTGGGGTGAAGCAGTTTTTCCGCCTTGGCATCTCCTCTGCCCTCATGGTTTGGTAAAAATAAAATCCATGTCTTCCATTTTATTTGCTAATCTAGAGTTTTGTTTCCCTATATATGGCTATAACATATTTTTTTTTCTATCAGCATTGTTGTAATAAAAAATTAGGGGTGGAGGGTCGGTCGGTTCGGTTATAACCGAAAATCGAAGGGTCGATTATCGGTTAACCGAATCACCTCCCAACCCTACCGACCACCGACCGGAAGAGGGATTAAGGTTTCGGTTATCTCGATTTTTGATTAACCGAGCTACCCACAAGACCAAAAGCATCTCGCCCATCCCTACGAATACCGATCGATTTTCGATTATTTCGGTTTTCGGTTAGTGGATAACCGGCCGGTTTCGGTTGTAACCAGTTAGTTAAACACTAACCGATAACCGATTGACCACCCCTAATGAAAATAGAGTTATTGTCCATTATAGTCCGATATTTTGCTTTGTTTACCAAACATACTCCTCTGCTATTATATTCAATTAGTTTGTGCTTATACTTTTTATACTTACACATTCATCCTTTTTACAAAAAAAGAAAAAAAATGAAAAGCCAATTTATTATATACAACATTTTTTTATGATGAGAGATAAAAAGAAATACGTCGATATCAGAAATATGAAAACAATGTAGTTTAGATATGAGAATAGAACAAACTAAAAGGTTGCTTATTGTCAATAAACCTTCTTCTTGTTGTTATGATTTTATTTTCTTTTTTACTTGTGGAGTTATAATGTTAATGTTAATGGTTTGTTTTGTTATTGTTGTCTTTTTGTGCAGTCTGAAATGGTGGTCAATGGAATTGCTGATTCTGCTTTCTGGGTTACTGTCCAATCCCAAGTTGGAGACATCGGTTCTTTCTATATGGTAAGGGTATTTGAACTTTTTGAACCATTTAAAATTGGGAGGGAGGTTTAATTCATAATATATAATAAATAAAAAATTCAATGATTTTGTAAAATTCTTGTCGGATTCTACAAAAACTTTGGAAGAGGTTATACGTACGCAAGTGGTAACCCAACAGGGCTTATAAAATAATATGATTGAACTTCCTGTTTTTTAATGCTTGGATTGGATGGACATGAACTTGCAGTTTGTCAATCTCCACGCTACACTTCACTGTGCCCTATGGACTGGGAGCTGCCGTAAGGTTTTGATTCTTTCATCTCAACAATCTCTCCAATTCTTTTGAAACAATAGACTTCAAATTTTAACTTTGATAACTCGTTCTCGAACACATGAAATTGTATCCAAAAGTGTTAATAATAAGCTAACGATTACGAGCAAATGGAACATTTTCTGAAGCACGCGGGTGTCGAATGAGTTGGGAGGTGGGAGGCCGCAATTGGCTAGGACGGCAGTTGTCGTGGCAACGTTTCTCGCATTCACAGAGAGCGTCATAGTGATCGCTGTCCTCTTCTTCTGTCGACGATTTGTTGGGTATGCATTCAGCAGGGACGCCCACATTGTTCACTATGTCGCCACCATGATCCCTCTCCTATGTCTCTCGATTCTCACCGACAGTTTTCAGGCCATCCTTTCTGGTTCGTACTCCATACATCATTACCAAAATTTAGTCCAACTTATTTTATTTCTTTGTGAACCTTTCTTAAATGGGACCGTAGAGAGACCCAAACGAAACAGTACATTAGTGTGTCGACTTCGAGTAACATTTAACTGTTAATGGGCTTTGTTTGTGTGTGTTGTTTTTGATGGGCCAGGGGTCGCAAGAGGGTGTGGATGGCAGCACGTCGGGGCTTACATAAATCTTGGATCCTTTTATTTGGTTGGGCTTCCATTAGGGTGCGTTTTGGGCTTTGTGGCACATTTGAAAGGGAAAGGCCTTTGGGTTGGAATTGTAGCTGGCTCCCTTGTACAGGCCGCATCTCTCTCTATATTCACGGCTTGCTTGGACTGGGAAAAACAGGTTAGTTCGTGGGAAAGTAACATGAGCAATTTTACATTAGTGTTATTGGCTTTTATTTTTATGGTACAATTTGAAGTTCTATCTTTAATAGTTATGTTATAATTTTATATTGTACTTATACTCTTTTGTACAAATTCTTTTATGATACTTTTTTTTGTAGAACTTGAACTTATACATTTAACGTTATGGTACAACTTCAAGTTATACATTAAAGCACCAATGCTTTATGGCATAATAGAAGTGCTCTATGAATACGAATATAGGAACTATAATACATTATGATATTTAGTGGATCATTTGGATTATACAGTCTCTTAAAATAAATCCAAATCATTCAATGAGTGTAATAGTAAAATGTAATGCATTCTAATTATTGGTTATTTTTAAATCTAATGATTAATATGAAGTTATGGATGGTTCTTTGACGCAATTTTTGTAACATAAATATATTGCAGATAATTTATCGTCGTGTAAGACGCTTTTTAGCTCGCCCTTTTTAATGCAACATAATAATAATGGTTAACTATATTGGGAATTAGTTAATCAGATTGAGACATTGAATGAAGTGAAGTTGTTAAAATCTTTGTGGGTTGCTGCGTTTCCTTTCAGGCAATGAAGGCAAAAGAGAGGATTCGATCAAAGTCGTCGCCAGAGAACGATCAAAACTAGGCATATATAGGAGTATGTTTGTATTGGGATATAGAATAGAAGTTCATACAATTATTATAGTTCGTCATTAGCTGAAGAGGAGTTTGATTTTGCGTATTTCATATATACATATTTTATTTGATAAAAAGCTTATGGATATCTAATCTTATATACGAATTATAAAGAAGAAGTTGGAAATTTATCACCAAATATTAGGCTAAAGATATGTCTTTTAAACAACAAACCAAGTTGTTTACACCAAAAATCAAATTTGTACCACATCGATTAAAAACAAAAGATTAAATGGCTATATAAAGACAACTTAGTTATAATAGTTTAAATGAACTTATTATCGGGGTTGAGCTGTAATCCGAAGAAGTGTGAAGTATTTGTTGGGGGTACAACAATTCAGTTCAAGAGCAATGTTATTTCTCTTTCTGGATTTGCAGAAGGTAAGCTTCATGTTAGATATCTTGGGCTTCTCTAGTTGCAGGCAAGCTATCTAGTTGATCTCCTCGGTTCTATTTTCTCTAAAATAATTCTGGATGAACATCTTCATACTACCAAAGAAAATTCTAGATCAAATTCATAAAATCTATTTAGATTTTCTTTGGTATGGGGAAGGCAGAGGTCGTGCTAACGTTGTCTGGGAAACTATTGCACTCCCTAACAATGAGGGAGGGATGGGTCTGAAAGACCTAGGTAGTTGGAACATGGCCTGTGTTGCTAGGCTTTTATGGCTCATTCTGATGTAGAGTGGGAGTTTCTGGGTGGCGTGGGTGAACAGATATCGACTGAAAGGAAGATCTATCTGGGACCACTTACCTTCTCAGTCAGGATCGTGGATCTGGAGGAAGCTTCTAGCTTCTCGAAGTTGGTTCCAGTTTCGGTTTTCAACTGATGCAGTAGGTGAGGTAACTTGGGAAGGGCGACTTATGCCTAAATTTTCTATACAACATATTTGGTCTTCGATTCGGCCAAAGAAACTCAAGGTGGAATGGTGGCAGGTGCTCTGGAATAAGTTTGTAATCCCAAAGAATAAAGTTATCTCATGGTTGGTTATTCCGAATAGAATTGCCACTTCGGATAAACTTAAGCAATGGGGAAAGATCATTAATGATTCGATATGTGTGTTATGTCGTACAGAAGAAGAAAGCTGGACACATTTATTTTGCAGATGTCCTTTTCCAGTTCAGGTTTTTGAAGCTTTGTTTGTCTCATTTCCTCGGCCAGCCTCGTGAGATGCTCTGCTTCACTGGATCAGTAACGCTATCAAGAAGACAGGGAGTCAAGGTCTTATATTTGTGGCAGTTTGGTGTTGGTGTATCAGTGCAATTTGGAAGGCACGTTGCAGCCACATTTTTCATGGAACCAACAATGATTCCAGGGTATTTTTGCAACAATTGATTCAGGAGTTCAATTACTATGCTATGGCCTATGGGAAATGTGAATTTTCTTTCAGAAGTTAGGAAGAGCGCCCAGTTTAAACATATGCTTTTTGTTGATTTGAGGTAGCTTGTTGTTCTGACTTTTCTTGTAATCAAAAATAGTGGAGCGATATTCTCCTGAGTTTTTGCCGATCTTGATTTAATCAGGCGGTTATTAATAATATTCGTTAATTACCGGGTAAAAAAAACCAAATAGACCAAAAGTTGTGAAAAAATAAAAGGAAAACATAATTGCCGAAATGGTAGAAGAAAAGTGTACATAAAAAAATCTAAGTACACTATCATACCGTACCAACATGAACATAAACCCTTCAATATATTAACCGCGTTTGTAAAATTCTGAGTACATTAATTTTATTTTCACAAAATATGACATTATTATCTCTGTCATCTAATTATGAAAACCGCCAAAAACCATGGCGGGGTATACAACATACAAACAAACAAATTAAAGCTAGTTCATCCATAATTTAAAAAAAAAAGATCATATATCGATCAGTCGACAGATTAACGAAAAACAAGAACTCTCTGTAATAATTAATTAATCAACTAATTCTGTCTGGTAGCAATGTAATTAGCAAAATGGTAGAGAGGAGCCGCCTTCGCCGGATCAAACCCGGCCAACTCCCCGTTGGCCCGATCCACCAGCTCCGCCGCAAACCTCCTCGCACCCTCCAGCCCCAACAGCTTCGGATACGTCGCCTTATCACTCGCCAGATCCTTCCCCGCCGTCTTCCCCAACTCCTCCGACGACTTCGTCACGTCCAAGATATCATCCACCACCTGAAACAACAGCCCCACGCACCGCGAGTACCTACGCGCCCTCTCCACGCTCTCGTCATCCGCTCCCCCGAGAATCGCGCCGCAAACCACGGCCGCCTCCAACAACCTCGCCGTCTTGTGGATGTGTATGTACTCCAGATCCTAGTAGGATTAATCATAAGTGTTCAAAATTAATTAAAATGTCTAGTAGTATGTACTCCAACAAACTCACCTCGAGCGTCACGTCCTCGTCGCCCTCGCTGGCGATGTCGACGATCTGGCCGGCCACGAGGCCGGCCGACCCGACCGCGGACCCGAGCTCGGCGATGGCGCGGACGACGCGGTCGGGGGACACGGTCTTGGGGGTGCGGACGGCGACGTGCTCGAAGGAGAAGGAGAGGAGGGCGTCGCCGGCGAGGATGGCGGTGTCCTCGCCGTACTTCTTGTGGTTGGTGGGGAGGCCGCGGCGGAGGTCGTCGTTGTCCATGCAGGGGAGGTCGTCGTGGATGAGGGACATGGTGTGGATCATCTCGGTGGCGCAGGCCATGGGTAAGGCGAGGGACTCGTCGCCGCCGACCATCTCGCAGGCGGCGAGGCAGAGGACGGGGCGGACGCGCTTCCCGCCGGCGAGGAGGGAGTAGCGCATGGCCTCGTGGATTTTGATGGGGTGGGCGAGCGGGATGGATTGGTCAAGGGCGGCGTTGACCCGGTCGGCCTTGGTCAACATGTAGTCCTTGAAGTCGAAGTCCGGGAGCGGGAGAGGGAGGGCGGCGGCGGTTTGGTCGACGGGAGCGACGGAGGCCGAGGCGCGGAGTTTGAGAGGTTGTCGGAGGGATGGGGATTTCTTGCTGAAGATGAAGGAATTGTGGATGAAGGGCTTGTTGAAGAGAAGGGATTGGGATTGGTGATGGTGATGGGAAGAAGAGATGGTTGCGGTGGCAGAGAAGGAAGAGGAAGCCATGGCTGGTTTGCTCTGTTCTCTCTTCAATTTTGTGTTGGTACTCTGTTCTGTTCTCTGTTTATTTGATTGCGGGGAAGATTGTGTTTGGGGTTTATAAAGGACGGGAGGAACATTTCACGTTTGTTTGTTTCGAGTATTAAATTTGACAAGGAAATGCGAAGAACATAAAATGACAAAATTGAAGAGAGGAAGGCATATGATTATGAATACGATTATGCCGTTGGATGGGGAGTGGGATGATTCCTTGGTGTGAGTGTTTGGACGGACTCGGAGTCGTGAAGTATAGTTAACTAATGAAATGGTCATCTTTGGCGGGTGACCATTTTTGCATAGCCATCAAACTTGCTTCCTGGTTGGTTGGTGAGATTGTCTATACGTAGGAAAGAAAGGGAGGACTCTGGAAATGCTGATAAAATAGCTATTATCAATGAATTGGTTTTAGGGATGTCAAGAATATTCATATTTGTGGATATCGGCACGAATCTATCTGATTGGATATGGATAAAACTCGGAATTCGAATATTGTAGGCAATGAGTGAGCATGGTTATCTCATTATTAAATCTGAACCCTCCCAACCCAATTATACGTGTGTATTTTTTTTTATAGAAATAATCTTTATTTTTCTCAACATATTTGATATTTTCTATACATATAAAATAATTTCCATGAACTTGTGTTATCTTCAACTAACTTTCTTAACTCTAGTGATTTTTCATAGTAATTTCCCTTATGTAATGTCAATATAAGTGTAATCGTTACATGTTTGGTTAAGTTCTGAAGAAAAATTGCTACCTGTAGATAACCATGAATATCCGAAATTCGATTGAGTATATATATGGATTTGGTTATAATTTTCTACCCGATTCTTGTGTGGGTATGGATATAGGTAAAACCCAAACTACGGAAAAAATCCCAGAATACTTGAGTTATTAAAAAAAATTCCCTAAATACAGTACTTATAAAACTAATTCCCAATATACAGCAGTTTCAACATCACTGTCTTGGACAAAGACAGTGATACTGATCACCGCTTTTGTCCAAAACAGTGAAGCAGCGGGGAATGTATCACCGCCTTGGACAAAGGCGGGGAACCTATCACCGCCTCAGACAAAGGCGGGGAACGTATCCCCGCTTTTGACATCAACAGGGAAGGCATCCCCGCTGCAGTCAACAACAGTGATTGTCTCACCGCTGTTGTGCAAAACGGTGATATTTACCACGTTTTACAGAGCCCTGGTAGGTGGAGAAGTAGGTAACAGCTACCTAGCTATCACCGCTGTTG